CCCCCCCCCCCCCCAAAAGAAGCTGTCAATATTGTCATGTCTCATGACGCCTGGTTATGTTTTTTACAGACAACAAGTCTGAGTTTCAAGACTTTTTATGCTTCTAGATACAGTTTCAATTGCCAGCAGAGAGAACCTTTTTGGTCTATTTTATAACATTGGCAGATATTAAAGAAACAATGCAACCCTTCCCTGTAATTTTATTTGCATCCATTACAAAAATATATCTCAGCAAAGGGGGGGGGGGGGAGCCCAAAACACCATATCGTATCCATTTACATTTGATAAGTAACACTTTTTAAAGGAAAAAAAAAATTACAAACAAGGTCAACCTGTCATCTTTCAATCTGGAGATCACGATTATAAAATCAGACACACTCTCAAAGGTAAGACATAGCATTAAGTGCAAAAATTAGGGACAATAACTAATACCATACAAATATTTTGGGGAATATTTCACTTTATTTGAACTATACAACCGTGATTCTACTTCAAATGCCACAGATCCGTGCTATGGCATCCTTGGATGTGCAGTTTAGGGATGGCTATGAAGAATTTTCCACCAGAGATTCCTAGTGTCACACCAAATGACATATTGCAGGAGTCCAGAGGATGCAGCCACAACTTTTTTTTTTGTCGTGTCAGGAGCGACCTGAGAAACTGCAAGTCGCTTCTGGTGTGAGAGAATTGGCCGTGTGCAAGGACGTTGCCCAGGGGACGCCCGGATGATTTGATGTTTTATCATCCTTGTGGGAGGCTTCTCTCACGTCCCCGCATGAGGAGCTGGAGCTGATAGAGGGAGCTCATCTGCCTCTCCCCGGATTTGAACCTGCGACCTGTCGGTCTTCAGTCCTGCCAGCACAGGGGTTTAACCCACTGTGCCACCAGGGTTTTCCAGTATCTTATTGCAATTGGGCACGTCCACCACATATGGTACAGTGTTCCCACTGTCGTTTGACATTTCCAACATTTGAAGACCAACATCCAGGAAGAAATTGCCAACATAACGCCTGCTTTGCTGGCAAGAGTCATGACAAACGTCAGAAATCGGTTTACTCAGTGTATTTATTTATTTATTTATTTACTTACTTTGCTTATATACCGCTGTATCTCAAGCCCGAAGGCGACTCACAG